ATATATATATATATATATATATATATATATATATATATAAAATTAGGTTATTATATACTTTGATATCACACGAGAATCTATCTAAGTATTCCAAACTACAATTATGAAATATTTGCGTGTGTAATTCTAGGTACTTGCGAATGCGGCATTGGCAGACAACCATCATCGTCATCGTACCTCGGCAAACGGTAACTCGGAAGGCATCGTGATACGTAATTTAGTGGACGGTGAGACCTTGACTTATAGCTTGGCCCTGATACGAGGTCATGCACCCGCGCTATGCAGTTATATTACCGTTCGAGGTCACAAGAACGTGACTTCGGAGTGGCCGATCATCGCCGGGCAATTCCGTGTCTTGGTGGATCTGGCACGCGGTCCGAACAAATTAGAACTCGAGGCAGGCGGATATAGAAGAAGATTGGTCCTCATATACGAACCGAGAACCACCAGACTACGGGTGACACCGGTCTACGTCATCTGTGCAGGTCACGATGGTTATTTTCAGGTAATAACAATAGTAAATTATAACTATATATTAATCACTTGTACTGTAGGTAAAATATAATAGGAATGCAAACTGTTTTCTCTTGTATCACTGATGGATTCTTATGGATTTCTCATGTATCATGATTAACATGTATTCCATTATTATCGTATTCCATTATTATATTTGACAAGTTCACTCGTGCTACCTCGTGTTATACTCTTACTCTTACCGTTATAGTCTTTTATTTTTCATAATGACTGTATTTATAACTGTATTTTTATATTTTAAATTGTTTATGTCTTATTAAGAATTCTTTATATCTGTACAATGGAATGAACTAAATTTTTTAATGTTATTATTAACTATTGACTTTGAGCTAAGTTAGTATCATTTTTTTTATATTCCTCCTTTTTTTTGACAAAATCATTACATTTTATGTACATCTTGACCATGCAGCTTATGATTAATGATATTGAAGCATTCTCTTATCTTTAGATTTATGATCATCATCTTTATGAAGCAATTTGATTATTGAGTGCTCTCAAAAATGAGCCAAAACATTAATTATTTTTCATATTATGTTATCTTAATCTAAGTTAATCTTGTTTTATTTTAATATGCATTCTTTTTACCACGCTTGATTCATGTAATCAGTTCCCTTATCTTCTTCTCTTATAATAAGAGTTATTTTATTTGCACGAGTGCTTGAAATCTCAGATCGGAAAATTATTTTAGGAATACTTTAGAAAATATTACTGGGAATATTACTTTCCATTCCGTAAGGATTGTTTTGGTTAGCAAGAATTGACTTAAAAAACATAATGCAAAAGTAATCATGACTCATAATTCAGCTATTGGAACGTAGCATGCAATTCTCCAATTATCGATTTCCGTTCTCTACATGAACAACCATATCGTCGTGTTAACCTTGCCTACGTTATTCTGAATAATCCGATTGTTCTATCTCACTCAATCTCACTCAATGAAATTTTTATTTAATTTTTTCTTGCGATTTATTCGCACCAAAACAAAATTGTAAGTCATAGTTTAATCTGTATTTTCAGGGTCCGCGTAATGAAGATCGATCACCTGAAAGTGCGGCAACGAGAATAGGGCTCGGTGCCAGACTTCTGCAGACACTGACAGCCGAAAAGCTCTTAGAAGCCGGTTATGACAGAAAAACCTTTCAGTTAGAAAGAGACTTGGATGGTCCGGAATGTTTGGTGATGCACAGTATGCTTCACGTCGATCAGGCACGAGCGATGAAGCAAAGAGAATTGTGGGAGTTAATCGCACGAGAGCTGATGACTGGTCCCTTAGCGTCCAAAGATCGCAAATATTTAGCATTTTTGTCATGCACAAGATATCGCGGCGCACCTAGCCCTCGCACGCACGAAGACACTTTAGCGAGAACGCAAGGTCACGCAGCTCTCGGTGGAGGCGGTCTAGCGCTCTTTGGTTCAGCATGTCTTCACACCTGGCCTACATGTATGGCTCAGGTTAGCATTAGCCATCGATTAACTCAATATAAGAAAGAAGATTCCAAGAAATTCACTTCTTATTTCACATAAAATTTTACTGAAAAGAAGAACGATGTTTCATAAGTATGTTTGTTCATATCATTCTTAGGTATTATCAAGATTCTTAGACACCACTATCATAGATACCGAGCAACTCATGGATGATAGTAATTATCGTGGCACGCATGGTGGTTGTTTGGCAACGACGCTAGGTTCCGTCCTACACGAACTTGGTCATACCTTCGATCTCGGTCACACCCGAGAGGGGATAATGGGTCGAGGATTTGACTACGTCGATAGAGTTTTCGTGGGTGCGGCTGGAATCGATTTCAATCGTAATCCTATTAGAAGGGATCCTCAACATACGACAATCGCCCTTAGTAGACCCCTCAGCGTTACAGTAACTGTGCAAGAATCCGCGCTATCAAGTCCACGAAGAGGTAGATTGCTCTCGGAAACTTCTAGAACTGCACCATCGCCTACTTCGAGACAGTTGCCTGGAAGACTTTCAGCACCAGCTAGTCCTGAACTTAACAGATCTCTCTCTAAGAGTCTGATTGCTTTGGAACCTCCTTCGCAACCTGATCGGACATTCTGGGGTTCATCGTGTGCGGCATTACTCGCGTATCATCGCTGGTTTAACAGCGAAATGGATAATTTTTCCAATAGGATCCATCATCACGAAATAAAATACGATGGAAAAAGGTGAGTTGTGATTAACAAGAATTAAATATAAATGCTTGTATGATGATACAGCAAATAAATAAAAGAAAGCAATTAACAAGCAAGCATATTCATTGATTGGCTTTCTTTTACTTATTTATGAATTGTGATTATTACGAACAGAATATTTTTTAAGATAAAAAACTAACTTGATGCTAGTGCTAAAATAAAAAAAATATATATATGAGTCAAAAATGACAAACGAGTAAAGATTTAACAAAATAATTGTTCATAATAATAAAATGTCGGTTTGTAATAATAAAATAATGATTGTTCATAATAATAAATTGTCAATAATTTATTTAAAAACAATTCAACAAGTACGTTTTGATTTTATATAATTGCATCAGCTGTAATAAAAATTATAATCCCTCGTAGAAGCATAATAAACAAAAAGAAAACAAAAAATCTAATTAAAATACATGATACATGCCAAATACAATTATAAATAAATATATAAAAAGTATATTCTATGAAATAGTTGAACAATAATAAAAAAATAATATAAAATATAAAAATAATAAACATTGTAATGTTTTTTTTTTTTCGATTGGTTAATGTGAGTCCATAAATTTTCAAAACATATCCTATGAATTATTTAATTTATTAATTCTTTAAATAATATTTATTTTTTTAAATCCTTAATCGCTCATAATTTGGTCCAGATTTCTTTTAGAATAAATATAAAAATAATACAACTTAAAAGCCTTCTAACAGCTAATTTTTTTAACTACTTTAATTATATATTAATAATAAAATTAAATAAATTTTAGCATGACTTAATAGCTATGATTTTATTCTCTATAAGGAACGTGGTGAGATCGCGATATGGAGTACGAGTGATAGAGCTTAGAGAAACATCAGGAGGAATGGTTGTGGGTTTTCGTCAATTTCCTGGCTTACGACCACCTTTGGAGGCGTTAGTTCCACCACCTCCGCTCCACTGCCTTACCACTCTTACTCTCGTTGCCGAAGACTCCATTGGAAATGTGCTCAAACATCCTCTTCCTACTGCCTTTTAAAGGTCAGCAGAAACAATGATGTGTAATTTTATTTTCTAGTTCGGCAAAGGTCGTAAGCAATATCAGCTTAATATATATTAATATATTGTAAATTATCCAAAGATATATTTTTTATTCATTCTTCGTTTAAAAGTTTATTTTAATTAAATGTGTACAGAAACGTATTTCTTGTTAAACGTATCTCTTATGCGCTAATTATATTTGTTGATAAATCTGCATAGATAGAACTAATGCAAGATATTTTTAGACATATACATACATATACACAACATAATAAATATAATACTGAATGAGAATAAAAATTTATAAAATATTTATGAAAATTATATATTTCATATTTGAGTTTTATATATATAATTTATCATATAATATTTAATTTATGAATGTAAAATGTAAAAATTGTATTGAAATAAATTTTTAGTTTTTATTTAGTATAAGTAAAAGTTAATCGCAACCAATTATCTTCTCTAATAATCGCATTTTTCGTTTACAATCAATCAAAGTATTATACTGCCATTATATATTCCTTGCGCTTCTAAAATTACAAGTGCAATTTTGGCTTGTAGAACAAAAATATAGCGTAATTTGCATGTGAAATTTGAAAAAATTCCTGCCGCTTTATATAAATAAATATATATTATAATATTATATATTTAAATATTATATATTTTATCACTTTGTTATATTTTATTTTAAATACCAATAACACGATGAATTTTTTATGAATATTTATGTTATAAATTATATTCTCAGACACAATTTATACAATTGAGAATCAAATAGAAGCTTGTATTCGCTCATATATATAATTGACATATAGATGATATGGATTTTATATAACAACGTATATAATATGGCATAGTTAAATAACAAATATTTGATAACTGTGTGAGATACACATCTTATTCATGTACAATTCTTTCTACGTTGTCAAATATGCAGGGAACTACTTTATAATAATTTATTTTGTAACAATAGTCTCTAGATAGTTGCACGAATAATAACCACAACTCCTATTAATATAAACATAATTAAAAAACAATTAGAAAAAAGGAAGTGATGAAAATTAGATTCCAATATGCATATAAATTAATAAACTTTATTTTTAATACATAGAGTGAACGTTTAATTTTTGTATGAGCCATTCTTAGCTTAGCTAGTTAACAAACATTTAAAGATAATCTCACGTAATCTATGTCTCTTTAATCTATTCACAACATATAATACGTGATTCTGGAGCTTAAAAATAAATATTACAACCGATTAATAAGCCAAGAAATAGTCAGTTATTAAAATATTTAAAATGTGACGACAGTCATATTTTAAAACATATTAGAATACGCAACAATCAATATGAAATATTAAAATATTTTTTTTTAATTATTATCTTTTAACTTGACAATTTTACAGTCTTTCCTTTTTATACATTTTATCTTATTCATTATTATGATGTATTATCCCATTACTATTATTTATTTGTATTATTTATTTGTAATAATTTGATTTTCCTTTTCTACTTCACTTGACCATTCTTTTAAACATATATCACTTGGTTCAACATGTATCAACTGGGTAGATCTAGAATTAATTGTGCATCGTGTATTATTAGACAGCATCAAATTATCTTTAAATATTGGTAGCTCTCACTCAAGATGGTAGCTCATAAAAAATTGAGCTAAAACGTCCAATTTTATGTACTTAAAATAAAATTTGTTTATTGATTTATAATGCGCACTAAGCCCACGCCTTATTTTTATCAGCTCCTTTTTTTCCATTTAAGAATCTTATTAACTTTTATTAACATAAATAATAATATATATAACATGTGCAAATATGTTGAATAAATAAATACTAATAGCATAATTAGCAATGTAAAACATTAAAAGCACGCTTGTAATTACGTTGTATTAATTATAAATTTTATATAAAATTAATTTTACGTATGCGATTATATATATGTAAGTAAAATTTAAAAAGAGTTGGCATCAATTTTAGCAAAGCTCTTATAGGGCTTCTCTATTATTATGTGTATATGTATAATAATTTATCTTAAAGTATTTTAAGTTATAAGCTAGCAAACCAAAAATTTACAAAGACAATATTATATCACTAATTCTGGCAAACTGGCAAAAATAATCTATGTACTAAATTAAAAATACAGAATTAGCTAGAAAAATACGGCTTTAAAATAATTCTATCCGTTTTTCCTTTAGCTCAAGAGACATAGTATTATCTTGATACCAAATGTGTATATCAATAATTCATAAGCAGCAAAACTGGTTTATGCATCTTTATACAAATCTTTATACAAAGTTTAAAAAATTTTTTTATCTATTCACAGTATCATTTTAACATATTATTTAATCATTGGTACAATTATAATTTAATATTTCATTAAACTTTGCTTAAATATTATTTTACAAATTTATAAATTTTATATTTTGCAATATAATCCTCTATAAAACAAATTTTTATATAAATATTTTTTTAGTAATGCTACTAATTATTAATTGATAATATATTGATTATGCTTTCTTATTCCAAGCCCTGGAACATCTTAGGATTTTTAAAAATATATATATATATATATATATATATAAATTATTTTATGTAAGTTAAACTACTTGTACTAATCGCCGCGGCCATATTCAAATACGTGACATCATAAGCGAGAAATGATACAGAGTGCAGTTTCCGTTGCACGCATGATGCGCATGGAGAATACATGAGGTCGTTCTGTTCCATGCATCGCATTACTCTATATTACCAAATAGCACAGATATCACATAAGAGTTAAAATTTTTTAATTTTAATACCTAATAAAATTTAAGTTAAATCTATAATATCTATAATTAAATCTATAATAATACTTTTTATTTTAAATCAAAATAGTCTGTATTTATTTAGTATTCAGTTCAAATTTCTCTTTGTTCTGAAATGTTAATAAACAATTAAATGTGAAATAATGATTTATTTACTGTTCTAATCAATTTTATTAATTTAAGCGCATTTTTGTCCGGGATTGCAATCGAAATGTCCGGAGTTTTTGGCTTGTAAGTTCTTTTGAAAATTTTCATATGGCAACTCTACTTACACTGGAAGAAGAAAGATAAACTGTGAACTAGTACAACCAGTTCAGCCAAAAAGAACAGACCTCATGCGCAGTTCGTGCGCGCATGAAAATAATTTCCCCTACCATACCGCGCAATGCATGAAAACGCATGGACTGCTCCTCAGGGTCGAATTCTGTACATGTCCACCGACTATCAGTATCATTAACTAACGACAGTCAATGAGAGCCGCGCTTTTTTCCAAGATCGTTCTTGCCATTGGCTGTCGTTAGTTAACGATACTGACAGTTGTCGGTGGATATGTACAGAATCCCGGCCTAGCTCTCGAGGCAGCGTTCCGACCATAGACATATAATATAGATCCCGCATATCATGTATTCTTCTATACCACCAGTTGAGTTTGGCAGAACGGTGAGAGAGGCAAAATATTGGGGAATATCTGTCTTTTACTGCGCGCGCATTATTAACAAATAAAAATGGCCTTTCGAGAATCATCTGATATCCGTAGCAATATACTTGTTAAAATGAAATAATATATTTTTAAGTTTATTGAATACGAGAAAGAAAGTTTTAATAGAATAAAGCTAGTATAAAGAATAATATAACTATCCATCACGACTATCATATAACCTGTCAATAGATCATCGCGTATCTTATCTGCGCAGAGAGAAAGAGAGAACTTCCCCTATATTTTGCCTCTCGCATCGTTCTGCCAAGAATTGAAGTATATAGCTAATGCTGAGTCTATTATATATGTCTATAGTTCCGATTTCGGTTACACGTATTTTCCCGAAAAATAGAGGGGATAATGTTGGTACCAACGAAATCCTCTGAACAACATACTTTTAATTCTATGGATTAGTAGCACTGTTCAAGGGATGACACCCGATTGATCACTAACCACTTACAGCGCTTGAACAATGGAAAAATTCTAGGCATCGGCCCCCGTGTGGCTAGTGATCAATCAGGACGTGGTCACCCCTGTTCAAGTAATAATCTGTTAGTTTACACATCCTTGTTGACATATGCGCGGACGTGCAAAATGTAAATGCGGATGCGACTGTAAAGCGCTCTTGCTGTCTTACGTACATATTCATTTACGTCTACGTACATATTCATTAATATTATCAATATCAGGGCATCGATCACGAATTTTTCAGTGACATAGTTCACTAGATTTTCACCGGTGGCCATTTCACGGTTTCACCGTTTCGTCATTTTCATTGCGATCACGCAGTGAAAAAAATTATTAGTGATATAACTAGAAGTAATGAGATCTATTCACATCAAAATATTCCAAAAACTACACTGAAGACAAATTCACGACTGTAAATATAACCTTAATATTTAGCAAAATAAAGAGGTTCGAACTTAGGAATAGATATTCCTATCCGTGCAAAGAAGATAAATACATCAACGGTAATAAGGAAGACAATTACAGATAATTGTACCTTTGTAGAAAAATACTACTGAGCACTACTAGTAGTGCAGTATTTTGAAGCACTACTACACTATCGCACTACTGCACTACTATACTATTGCATTATACACTACTATACATTACATTACTGCGCGATACTGCATTATTATGCACTATTGCACTACTACACTACTCCGCTGTAGTATAGTAATGCAAAATATCCAATAATATAACTGTAAATGGAACTCAAACACGGGCTAAACAGGTTGACACTCGTTTGACCACGTCCCACTAGCCACTCACAGCGCTGGAACAGTGGAAAAATTCTAGACTCTGGCCCCTGTGAGTGGCTAGTGATCAATCGGGACGTGGTTAAACGGGTATCACCCGCCAAACATGTCTACCTTGTAACGAACGAAATTTATAAAAATAAAAAAATATGTTTTTTTAATATACACATACTTATCTGCAATTATTTTTGTAATTTTTAATAATTATTTGTACTAAAAAGGAAAAAATAAATAACGTAATTACATCTCATTTTATTACAATATGTTGTACTAAAACTTATTTATTGTGTACTACATTATATTTGAAAACAACATAATTTGAGAAATAATTGTTTTTCAAAGATTCTGTATCGAAAAATAATAATTTTGGGTCGTAATAATAGTTGTATCTGGCATTGAGATGAATAAAACAAGTTTTTTTATAACTTTTTAATTGAATAATTTTCCTAATTAAATAAGACCTTAAAGTCATTAATACGTATATATCAGAAATACGAATGTGTGCATTATAGGCCGCCATTATTCAGAACGCGCTTATAAATATGTTAGCGCGTATTTTTGTCAGTCTATCCTTTTCGTCTAATGACTGATAAAGATAGAATGATAAAAATCAGTTAAACCAAGATTAAGTTAATTTATTTTGATAGAAATAAATATTAAAATCAAATTTTTTAAGTAATGACCTATAGACTTCTTGATTGCCAAAAATAACGCAATAGCAAGTTGCTTAGCTAGTAGTAATTTAGGAGTATCATCATTTTCCAATAATGCTAGTTCAAAAGTTGTATCAATTGTTCAAAAGTATTTCATTGAATACGAAAATGTAATTTAAAATCTACAATAATAAAATAATATTATAATTATTTATCTTATATTTATTTATAATAATCAAAATATTATTATAAATAAATATAAGATAATATAAAAATATAATAAAATATAATATAATAAAAGTTATAATAATGCATACAGTTTTATTATTACCTGTTAAAGAATAAAAAAGAACAACATCTTCAGAGAAATTATAGATTTTTAGATGTTGTTCTCTATGGCTATTTCCTCCAGTCATACTCATTATTAATCTCTTCGTTTTCAAAAAAAATATTCCATACTAATAACATATCCATTTGTTATATTCTGCAAAGGTATACATAAAAAAAATAGATAAACAAAAGTATTATTGAAATGATGCGTGAAGTCAGTATATCCGCCCCTCCGTAGGGGGGCTCCACTATCGAAAGGAATAACCTAACCCAATCCTTATCACAGTGATAAATGGCAGTAGTTAAGACACTGGCGATAATTATCATTTCAATGCCAAGCATATATACATATATTTGAGATAAACATGTAATCCTTCAATTCAACCGTTTAGAATAACGTTTGTATGGCAACAAGATCTGACAATAAAATGCAATTCCCCGAACTAGTCGACAACAAGATAAATACCGAGAAGTTTTTGCAAGCCGCTCACGATGTCGTGCAAACAGTTGGTACATATTCATTCTCGAGTTTAATCTCAAACTATCCGAAATAGTGCTATATAATCACAGAATAACAAAAACAATACTCACTCTATTTATTTGGAGTATACTCCAAAAAAATGAACTGAAATCAAACTGCTCACGAACTTCTCACAAAACTTGCTCTAAATATAATCTGATCAAGCATAACATTTGTATCAACAAATCTGTATTTCAGATAAATTTGGCAAATTGTTTGCACCTGTACGATATGACATGCAAGGCAATATCGATGTAAATAAACAGTAATTTTGATAGAGATAGTATCAGCAATTCCTATAAATCTTAAATTTATATATTTTTTAATTATAGAAGCTTACTACCAGATACTCTATGGACAAAATTGCCAACTCGACTCTACAAGACATGATCTTACTTGAAAAATCAACGGAAAAAGATCTTGTTGCGGTTGATGCTTTAATGTGGTTACGAAGGTATTTTGAATATTCCGGACACAAAGTTTAAAATCAGGACATAAGACATTTCTTAGATATCTTTCACAAAGATATTTTTAAGATCTCTTACATCCTGATTTTGAACATCATGCTACTTGGAATATATCTGCAAGAATTAGGCAAAGTCTTATATCTGGTGATAATTTTTTACTGAATTTTATTTTTTGCATTAACTTTGGTATAGATTTAAAGTGTTTATTAATATCAATAATATTAAATTTTGCATTAATTTACTAATATAAGATTTCTAATTTTAATAAATTATATTTTACAATTGAATGATAATTGAACATGTGGTTTATAAAATTTACAGAACTTATTATTATAGATAAAATTTTCTGACCAAAATATTAATTTTCATTCATTTTGCATATTATAAATCAATTGCTATTTATTTTTGGATACATGAGTGCATGGAAGATATTTATTCAGTGATTGTTACATATTTTAGAGCCTTACACATGATTTTATTACTCTTTGAAAAAATCGTAGAGACTCATAAAACTGGAGAAGCAACAGAAGATTTAATTATATTCTTAAGAGAAGCATACAAAGAAACTTTAGAACCATATCATGGTTGGATGACGCAGCAATTATTTAATGTAATTATATATTTTTATATATGTACACATTAGTAACTTGTGAAAAATTATAATATGTTTAAATATCAATTTTGTTGCAGCTCTTGTCACGTATGATGCCAACTCGATCGCAACTCTTACTAGCATTAGCAAATGGAGAAACAGGAAAAGATGAAATTATTTTAAGGAACATGGAGCTATCTCTAGTGAATCTAAGGAAAAATGTAATAGCTTTGAGAACCTTTTATAATGATCATGATTTAGAAGTGACTACAGTAGTATAATATAAAATATATTAGAGTTTACATAATATCTTATAGAAAAGAATACTGCCTATAAAAATATATAAACAGGTTATATGTAGGACAATATATGATAAAGATAGAGGAAATTATATACATGTTTATTTTATATAAAATTATATATTCCTATATATTACTTACATATGTAGTTTAACAAAGTACAAAAGTTATTAATATGTAACATATCATCTGTTTTATGTTTTGTTAAGTCTTACGACGTATTAATAATAATATTGTCAAATGTTGAAAGCAATAAAATAAATATTAATATATGAAATAAATATTAATCAATGTGCACTATTTTCAATTTCATATAACTGCGCGATATAAAACCTTTTAGCATGATGATCTGCCGATTTTTTTAAAGCTACGGTAGCTGTTATAATTTCTATAACGAGCAAAAATGCCATAATACTATTAGTAATTGTTTCGCTAAGATGAGATTTGGTTTTGCTATCAAAAAGAAGAAACATCTCTAAAGGAAAATGTATGAGTGTAGATATTAGCCAAAAACTGGCCAGTTCTGGAATCTATATAAAGATGCAGATAGAATATCAATTGTAATATTCATTTGATTCAATTATTTATATTACTAAGATGTTAAAAAATTACCTTCTCTGCTAAATTTCCAAGATATCCCAAATATAATCTTATACCTTCCAATATTGATATAACAATAAATACTGCTACAGTTATAAACTTATAAACATCTGTCAAATAATAATACTGTAAAAGAAATAATATTTTTTCATTCTCCATTTTAGGTTTAAAAAATAGTTTTCTACATATTTTTTATAGATACGATAGATTAGATATTTACTTTTGCATCTAAGTTAATAAGTATTATAAAGAACCACAAAGGATATACCCATACATTAAAATACAATGCCATTTGAAGCGGCAAATTGGATTGTATTTGATTTCCTGTGAAAAACAAATGTTGATTCATAAAAATATATATAAAAGTATATAAAAAATATGAATATGCAAAATTAAATATACTATATTATAAAGATAAAAATTTTATTAAATTTTATATATGTAATAGTCAGTATTAGTCTTGTAATAAAAAAAAAATTTATTGATTAGCTTTAATATTATTGCTGCTTTAAATTTTATAAATAATTATATAAATTGTCGAGATATTTTATACATTGACACATTAAAGATATTATCAATCAATTTATAGTATTAAAATAAACAATGGTAGTAATAAATTAGATATTTGTCAATACTGTTTCTCATAGCAACAGTTGCTACCAATAACGGAGAATCACAGTATGAATATTTACCTATATCATAAAATTCTTTTTTCCGATCATGATATACCAAACCAGGAAATATACGATCTGACGCAGTAACAACTGATGTTCTCCACATTCTGATTTTCTCATTCAGAAAAACGACAAACTTTAAATACTTATTTATAGTTACAAATTCAAATTCTGATTTTTTTTACACAACCACTCGTGTGATTAGGGATCACCTCAATCTCACCAGTGTATTAAACAAGGTTTTAATGCGCATGCGCACTAAAAATCCAATGTATATAGAGAAAGTTACTTAACTATAGTTTGGTGGATTCCCGTAACAAGTAAGTTAAAACGTCTAAAATAACAAAGTAAAGTAAGTTATTATAATTTATAATTGTGTAATGCTTTTTAATCTTTATTAAGGCTTGGCTCTTTCGCTGCAGCCATATTGAATTATGACGTCGAGGCGAGAAATGACATGTAAAAAGTTTCTTGCGTCGTATAGCTTTATTTTGTGCTCTCCCCTTAAAAACATAATATTTTCATAAACATTTCATAAAACATGATATTTTCTTAAAACTTGTAAAAAATATCAGAAAGTAAGATATCTGTCTAATAAATTACATAAAAGGGTAAAGTAATTCTTGAAATAATGGTCACTGCTTAGCTATCAGAAAAAACTAGATTTAGTGATCTGGTGATTGCTGATAGCTAAACAGTGTACCATTTATTTCAATAATTATTTTACACTTTTACGTGATTTATTGGACAGATATTTTATTTTTTGATATTTTTTTATAAGTTTTTAAGAATATGAAAATAGTTTTTATGGGGAGAGCACAAAATAAAGCTATACGACGCAAGAAACTTTTACGTCATTTCTCGCTTCTGACGTCACACAATCCATGTCGCGAGAGAACCGAGCCTTAGATCCGGTTGCACTAATATTATTTGGGCTTTAAGCGAGACTTAATATATAATATATATGACACATATTATATGTGGTCAAATTAATCTTCGGTTACCTTAACTGAAGATTGGTGAGGCCCTTAATTTTCTAAAAAAAAAAAATTTGGTGAACAACAAAGATAAAATAATTGCAAACATTAAATGGAACGCAATCTATAGTGCTCACTGAGATCAGTGTTGCTAAAATTGTATCTTCATAATACATCTTTATAATCTTTGTGATATTTTATAATAAATATAATACTTTTTCATGTAATAAATACAATAAAATAATAATAATAACCATAAATCATCAACAAAATTTTAGATTTTAATTATTTAAAAGTAATCATCGAAAACCAAATAGTTTAATAATATATAATCATAAGCATACATTTTCATTAATAGTTTATTGATTACAAAAGCAGTTAATAATAGTAACAATAGTCATGTATCAGATAATCTGTAGTTTTTTTTCTTTTGCAAAATCAACATAGCACGAAACATATGAAATGTGCCGATAAAACCAATACAAAGATTTGAAGTTCACATATATTAATTCTATAAAAATTTAATAAACAACATATACATGTAATATTATATTTACAGATTTAAAGTATCTCACGAGATAAAGGATCATAAAAAAGAAATTGCAGTATAACAAATTGAGTTCAAAATCATTGTTATAAAATCATTGTTATATGTGAACATTTATGGACACAGTAAATCATATGATTTCATTTGCTATTACGATCATTTCTTCCCAGACTTTTTTATACCACCAGTAACTAAAGGACCTTTTTGACTGGCTTTCTTTGCTGCTTCAGCCAATGCTTTCTGTTGTTCCTTTTGCTTTTGCTTAAATGCTCTATCATCCTCATCTAAAACTTTAGATTCTTTCTTTGGTGCCTTCAAGGGCTTCTTCTTGCCTCCTTCTCGGCCAGACATTCTAAAGTACATAAAAATTAATTGCATTGTGTTGTCAAATTATATTTAAAAATGGTACACAACTTAAAAACAAATATAGAACATAACATAGAAACAAACGTCACATATTAAATCAATGTAACCTCTACTGAAATATAAGATAATCAGAATGTCATTACAAATGAGTTTAAATAAGAATCATTTTTTATCGTGATAAGCGATAACTTGATCACGTATCAGGTATCAGCTATCATATTATTCATACTGATATGTAATTAACAATTTACAAGTCATCTAAATTTATTTCAATATCACAAATATCTCATTCACTTGTATATACTATGTGACTATCATTCCTATGACGACAGTTTTGTCATATTCGAATCTTCGACTTACTTGCGAATATATTACTGAGTCGGAGA